GTGTGTGTGTGTGTGTGTGTGTGTGTGTGTGTGTGTGTGTGTGTGTGAGAGAGAGAGAGAGAGAGAGAGTCTCTGTGCTCATGTTGAAGCTTTTAGCTGCATTGAAAGGACTATAGTGTAACTGTGGATCAGTCTTTGACATTGCTTGGCCCAGAGCCTTGTTTGCCATTGAGGTGAGGTTGGAAGGATGAGCACTCTGTTCCACTTGTGTTTCACCATCTGTCAGTTGGATTCATTGAGTACTCTTGAGCTTTTGTGTGCCCAGGGCTGTGCTCATCACACAGCTACTCCTTACATGAGTGTGCTGTTAGCCCCACAGTGTGTGGAGGGTATGCTGAGAACAACAAAAAGGAAAGGACTCTTCCCTGTGGAAGATGGCATCTGAACTTGGCTTCAGAGGTTGAGTGAAGGGCTCGGTGGGCATGGCATAGAAAATCAGTATGGAGAGGGGACTGGGAGCACAGCCAAGGTCAGAATATAGGCCTGAGTGACTTGCTGAGGAGTTCCAAACCAATGGTGCTCTGTTTGCCACTAGGATGGGTTGAAATACAATTCTAATTGATTTCCAAAGAACCACTGATGTGCAGAATTAGTAAGGAGTTGGTGATCAACACTTTTCAGGGTATCTGGGTGGTTTACAGTTGCCTGTAGTTTCTCTAATCCTGCTTTGCATTTTAGTCATAAATTGCTTTGTTTCCTCCATTTTCAGTTTAATTTGTTATACATTTTAATGTTCTGAGGTTGATGCAAATTTGTTTTTGGTTTTGTTTTTTCGATCTTTTGATTTCTTTTTCCAGTAACAATTTCTTTAGACTTAAGTGTGTTTGGAGTCAGATGGAGGGTATATATGCCCTGACTTCTGGAGTAGAAGTGCTCCTTAGGGTCCATGGCACTGGCCCCACCACAGTGGGGGGCCCAGGCGCCCACCACCAGGTCTGCAGGACCTGGAAACCATTCCATCACTGTTGCCCCATCCCACGGGCTAGCATACTCAGATGGTCCTGCATAGCTACAGGGGGCCAGGAATGTAGGTTTACTCTGGAAGGCCTCAAGCCCAGGGACAGATCTGGGAGAAGAAAATACCAAGGAGCAGCCAGCGTCTGCCACCAGGATGAATGCACAGAACTGTGAGAGATGCTCCTGATGTAGCATCTGAGTGAGGCCTCAACTTGTGGGTATCATCCACTCTTTGTTTTACTCCAGTTGGGGGCCGCATGACATTTGTGTTCAGAGGTCCTACATGGATATTGTTTTCGTTTGGGGTAGACCATCTGGTTATTTGCTCCCATCTGTAGATTTCACGTCAGTGTAAGTATCTTTGGTAATGGGCTTTGAGAACAGTTATGTTAAAAAATAGTAAAACTTTAAGACTATGAATAAGGGAGAATTGCAAAAGATAACTAAATATATTCATCAGTTAAATGCTTTGGATTTTGTAGTTATTGGTAAGTAGGATTAATTGCCGTTTCACTGTTTCCACGCTCGCCTTGTGGTTCGTATGCTTGTTCCGTTAGACAATGGACAGTGACTCTTGGATGTTCATGTTAGTGTAGACCAAGAGCTACATTCATGAATGAAACTCATTTCTTGTTGTCATTTTAAGGATTTCACCTTGAATCTTAAGCTGGCCAAGAGGGACCTAAATTGAATTTCACTGGTTGCTCCTCCTAAGAATCAGACCTGACCGGAAACCCCTTCCTTCAGCTTTGGGAGGCAAGTTGCAGGGCATCTGGAGACCAGGGTTAGTGTACTAGTCTATGGATTTCTGGTACTCATCATCCTCTGGGGGTGGCGGTGGGGGGGTTGTTGGGAACGGGACTGCTGCATAGAGGCCAGGTCTAGTGCCTAATTGATTCCTGCAAAACATCCTAAAAGTTTTGTTGTGAAAAACAAAAAACAGTCTCTCATTGGAATTCACCTTTAGGAGCAGACCAGAACTATACAGTTCTAGAATGTTTTTGCATGTTCTTTCATTTATTCTTTTTCTTTGTATTGAAAGTTCAGAGTCAGTGTAGATGAAATGGGTGGAGGTGGTCAAAAGGTACAAACTTCCGGTCATAATATAAATAAATCCTGTAATATGAGGTACAGTATGGTAACTGTAGTTTACCGTACTGTATTTATATTTGAAAGTTGCTAAGAGAGGAAATCTTAAAAGTTTTCATCACAAGGAAAAAAAGATTGACTGTGTGAGGTGATGGGAGTTAACTAGACTTTTTGTGGTGATCATTTCCCAATAATATACACATATCAAGTCATTATTTTGTACAGCTGAAAATAATACAGTGTGTCAGTTATATCTGAATAAAACTGAAAGGAAAAAAAAAGTTCAGTCAACTTAATTACATCCTTTGAGTGTCTCAGGCTGAATATTCTTCCTTCTGAGCGTGTTGTTGATTCTTATCTTCATCACAATTGTGTTAGGCCTGTGAGGTGTATCTGCCTATCACTAGTATTGGCACATTCAGTATTCTTATGCTAATTTTTATGAAAAAGTTACAACCTGTAACGCTCTACCCAATAGCAGAAAAATGTTAGAGCTACAGAAATGGAATGTTGGACTAATAGAGTAATGACTGAAGGCTTTATTTAGCTGATGGGGTGGAGCTACAAGTTGATGTACAAAAAGCAGTTTGTAGCAGATTATATTATGTGATCATATTGCCTATGAAAGTAGAGGACCCCCACCCCTTAAAATTAAATCCTACATGTCAGGGATGAATTAGGCTTTTGAGTGGTTGATAATCTAAGCACATATTTGACTGCTTGAAGAATGAATGAAACCCTTGTTTTATAATGTATATCAATTCCTCAGGAGGATCTTCACTTTGTTAATTTTTCTCAAATTAGATATTAAAATTGACATTATGAACTATTGAGCTGTACATTTTACTGTATGTAATTTACACCTAATAAACTTGACTTTTTTTTAAAAAAAGCAAAACGAAAAAAGTTCTGATGTCACCTAGCTGTTCATTTGAATAGGGGATTCATCCATGTGATCTCTCATTTACAGAGGGACCAGAACAGCCCATCACATCTGAGGCACAGAATAGAATCCAAACCCTTGTTTTTTGCCTCCTTGGGTCACATTTTCATTTCCCAAGACATGCTCTAGGTTAGTGGTTTATTCTTCCTACTGATTCCCAGCAGTTTAGGTCATCTTGATATGGATACAGAGATTTTGTTAAGTAAACCAGCTCTAACAGTTTCAGAAAATGTGACAAACTTGCCTTCTGCAGAAGTAAGCTGCACGGCTCTGTAGGGGAGGGCTGTCCCATGCTTATCTTGAATCCTCTGAGGCTTGTTAGGAGATGCAGCAGGCACAGGTAGAGCTCGTGAGTACATATATTTCTCTTCAGCAGCTAAACCAGTCACTCTGGATTCATTTACTGGAGTGGAACGGGTGTAAACTCACGCTACATTTTTTCCTCCCTGCACTGGCTTTCCCAGGGAGGCCTGTTGTTGGCCTTGGCCTGTAGCCTAGTAGGTCTTTGCATGCAGGAGTGTAGGCAGCCAGTTGTGTCCTGTTCTTTGCTATAATGTTGAACTGCCACCCTATCATTGTTTCTGGTCCTAACCAGAAAAAGGAAAAAACCATTCTTAAGGGGCTGTGTCCGCTCAGAGCTTTCTGTCTCAGGAAAGAGACGTGCTGTTGTTACTCTTGCATCTTATGAGCCAGCTCGAAGGTGCAAACTCAGGCAGGTGCGGGGAAGTGCTCTTTTGAGAAAATCAGCGTCTTCACTGCTTATAAATACTCACGGCCATTACCATGAACCTGAAAAACAGGTTTTGACCTTAGTGCTAGGGATCCTGGTAGAGGAAAGGGTGAAATAGGCCTAGGCTGGGCATCCTACAAGTTAGAACCTGTGTGGAGAGGCCACGGAACAACTCTCATGGTCACTGTTGAACCTTTCCACTGTGATACTGTGTTAGGTCAGGAGCTGCCAGGGCCCCTGGACCAGGTGCAGGGCGGTTATAGATAGATGCTTGTATAGTGGGAGAGACCAAGTGCTGTGTGTAGCGTCTTAAACCCTAGAGTTTGTGCTCATCCCCATCCAGGTTCAGCCACCAAATATATGGCCCACTTCCCCTTTGGGGCTTCAGGACTTGAGTAAGTTAAAAAACTGTGTATGGAAGGCAAGGACCACACTGATAATCAGGGCTCAGCAGACTGCACGGCCAAGGCAGGCCAGGGGTGAGTGGACAGACACGCTTGGGTGGGGAGGGGAGGAGGCTCTTGGACTGCCATGGCTGTGACTGACTGCATTTTGAGGCTGACATGCGGGTGTGGGCCTGCTGCTGGGCCCAGTTTACCTGGAATGTTCCATCAGTCCCATGTGGGAGTTGGGAGAGTACACTTAACCTTTTCACCTCTTAGTGCCCAGGTTTTTGTGTCAATTTGTAGGAACATAACACTAAAACAGGTATAAAACAAGTATAAACAGCAGTCTTCCATCCTGCCTCCCAGGGATAGCCTCTTTCATGCCTCACTGTACTAAATAGTGTGCTAATACTGTTTCTCAGTGTGTCAGCTTTGGACAGTGAGGGTTGGCCCTTGAGACCACAAGTTCTGGCCTCAGCTTTCCAATACACAGCAATGACAGTCAAAGTATCATGACTGAGTAAATATTGTTCACTGCTGAGTCAAGTGGTGACTGGCTTATGGTTTCCCTCAGGAAATCTTAAAATGACTTCTTTGCATTTTCATCCTTGGGTTTTTTTCTGTGTACCTGTGATTAGTTTTTCCCAATTCCCCTAGAATTGCCAAACCCCACGTTTAAACCACATAGGTAACTGTTCCTCTTTTCCTGGAACTCTCCTCCTTCCTGCTGCAGCCTGCGCTGGCTGCTGTTCAGGCCTGCCTCTGTGTCTCCCTCCATCACCTTGGGGGCTCCCTCTGCCTGTGGCAACCTGGAGAAGAAGGCATGTGTGAAGCCTTGCATTTCTAACCTCTGTTCTGCCCTTTGGCTGATACAGAATTACAGATTGAAAGTGCTGCTTATGTCTCTCTTTTGGGGGAACAGTTTGAGGTTCACCACATAATTGAGGGAAAGGCATGGAGATTTCCAGTTCCCACATAGCCTTCCTCACTATATCCCCCACTAGAGTGGTGCATTTGTTACAGTTGATGAACCTACATTGATACGTCATCATCCAGAGCCCATAGTTTACCTTAGGGTTCACTCTTGGTATTGTGTGTTCTGTAGGTTTGGAGAAATGCATATTGACACGTATCTACCATCGCAGTTTCACACAGAATAGTTTCACTGTCCTAAAAATCCTTTGTGTTCCACCTATTCATCCCTCCCTTCCTCCTAACCCGTCACAAACACTGAAAGGATCTTTTTACTGTCTCCACAGTTTTGCCTTTTCCAGAATGTCATATAGTTGGAATCATAGGTGTGTAGTATTCTTAGATTGGCTTCTTTCACTTAGTAATGCACATGTATGCTCCTCCACATCTTTTCATGTCTTGATAGCGCCTTTCTTTTTAGTGTTGAATAATAAAATATTGTTTGGATGTACCACAGCTTATCCATTCACCTACTGGAAGACATCATGGTTGCTTCCAAATTGTGGCAAAATTTTGAATGAATAAAACTTTTTGGAATGAATAAAACTTCTGTAAACATCAGTGTGCAGGTGTCTGTGTGGACAGACAGTTTTCAGTTCCTTTGGGAGCATGATTGCTGAATTATATGTTCAGAGTATGTTTTGTGAGAAACCTCCAAACTGTTTGCGGACAGCTGTACCATTTTGCATTCCCTCGGGTAATGGAGGAGAGTTCCTGTTGCTCCACATTCTTGCCATTGCCAGCGTGTGTTCTGGATTTTGGCTTTTGGTCATTCTAATAGGTGTGCAGTAATAGCTCATTGTTTTAATTTGCATTTCTCTGAGGACATATGATGAGCATCTTTTCATTGCTTACTTGCCTTCTGTAAACGTTTAATGAGGTTTTCATTAAGATCTTTGGCCCATTTTTTTAATTTTAAAATTAAATTTGTTATTGTTGAGTTATAAGTGGTCTTTGTATATTTTGGATGACAGTCCTTTATCAGATGTATCTCTTGCAGATATATTCTCTCAGTCTGGTTTTGTCTTTCACAGAGCAGAAGTTTGTCATTTTAATGAAGTTCAGTTTATCAGTTATTTCTTTCATGGGATCATATCTTTGGTGTTGTGTCTAAAAAGTCATCACCATACGCAAGGTAGATGTTGGTCTTTTAAATTGCTCCTAGTTTCCTCCCTTTTTTTTTTTTAATATTTATTTATTTGGCTGCGTTGGGTCTTAGTTGCAGCATGCAGGACCCAGTTCCCTGATCAGGGATCGAACCTGGGCCCCCTGCATTGGAAGCTCGGGGCCCTAGCCACTGGACCACCAGGGAAGTCCCAGTTTCCTCTTTTTTAAATCTTGTGTGTGTGTGTGGATTTTTTTCACTTTGGTTGTGAGGTCTGCTGTTCTCTGTGTCCTAATGCCCTGTTCTTGTTTTGTGGGCACCAGGTACCCACCATGTCGATGACAAGGCTGTGTGTGGGTTGGGGATTTTGTTTGTTTTTTATTGTTTTTTTCTTTTTAAATGTCTTCTGTCTTCTCTCCAAATTCTTTGTTTCAGTCACTTGCATTGGGGGCTTCTTAAAGGGAGATAGGGGTGTGGCTATTTGAGGGCCTCCAGGTGCAAGAATCCATAGGTCCTTGCTTTGAGGCCTCTGGGTTACATGTGAGGGTCTGCAGGGAAGTGTGCCTCCCTGTTGATTTTGCCCATATCCGTCTGTTTCCAGTACAGTGCACCCCATGCCCTCCTCTGCCTGGATAGTGGAGTCAGGGCCCCTGGTTCAGCCGCTCCAAAAAGGTCCCTTGGCTCTCCTGCAGAGCTGAGGATGAGCACTCGGTCAGGGTCAGACCTCACCAAAATTTGCTGACTTCTGTCACCTCTTTCCACCTCCCCCCACTTTTCTCTTTTGAGTCAGTCATCACTTATTTCTTTATTGGTAACGATTTCAGGAGTAAGCTGAGATAAATGTGTGTGTTCAGTTTATTCTGTCTTCCATAATTTATCATCATCTATAGGAAAAATGGCTGTCTGCAGAAAAGGAAATATAGTAAAGATATTTTTAAATTTTACTTTTATAACTAGGTAATATTATTCAAAACCAAAAAGCATTAAAGTGTTGAAAGTGCACTGAAGCCTGCTGGAAGCGCCTCCACGGGACACCTCTAGGACCATTGGAGCATCTAAGTCACAGTGGGGTAGTGATTCTGACCTACTGAGTAAACTAGGAATGCACAAGTTCACACTATATCAATATATGGAGAAGTGGTTCCTTGCAGTAGAATGCTAACTAACTAATAGCTGGAAGGAATGACTCAGTAGAAAATCACCATTTGACAGTCCTCATGGTAATAATTCAGCCAGGAAATGTCAGAGTGCTAAAACTAGAAGGTGGAAGTTGGATGAGGAGCAGGACGTGGACTTAGTCACCAAATACTCACTGATGACTAAGGCAGAAAGTAACTTGCAGTGGAGGCCTGGCGACTCCACCTGAGCCTGTCATCAGAGGTGATAAGGAATGGTGGGGATCTGGGGCACGCCCCCCAGGTGGAGTGCAGTGGGGCGTGCCTGTGGCAGGCCCATATCTGTGTCCTTCATGGGTCTGGCCTCTGACCCCAGCAGTGTCCATCCAAAGTCCAAAGACTGGGGAGTTCATTGTTACTTCTAGGGGGGTCAGGTATGCAGGGCAAGGCTCCTTCCAAGCCTTGACAGTGGCTTCCACCAACACCCTCTCAGAGGTCAGGTGCAAGCAGCTCCTGCCTGCTTGGAACAAGTTCTCTGTGGTTCATTTGGTTTTCTGTCAACACTCACACAGAGTTCTTCCCAGTTGAAGGCTGCCCAGCTCTCCACAGCTTGACTTCACCATAGGTGCCAAAAGTCCAGATTCCTGGCTTCCCTGGTGGCACAGTGGTTAAGAATCCACCTGCCATTGCAGGGGACACAGGTTCGAGCCCTGGTCCAGGAAGAGCCCACATGCTGCGGAGCAGCTAAGCCTGTGTGCCACAACTACTGAGCCTGTGCTCTAGAGCCTGCGAGCCACAGCTACTGAAGCCCACATGCCTAGAGCCAGTGCTCTGCAACAAGAGAAGCCACTGCAGTGAGAAGCCTGCGCACAGCAACAAAGATCCACCTCAGCCATTAATTAATTAATTTTTTTTTAAAGTCCAGATTCCTAAGCATTTGAGAAAGTGACCGTTTTTTCCTAAGGCCTTGTTTGCAAATAAAACAGTTGAAGGAGGAGAGTACTGAGCATGGAGAGGCCAGGCCTGGGCAGCTCTGGTGCCTTGGGCGCCTTTTGGGACAGGAGATCCTCTCCTCCGTGAGCCTCACTCTCCCGCAGCTGTGGTCACTTGTTCCTTCCTATAGGTTTGGGTGTCTGGGCCTGGTCTCTGACCTTGGGTCCAGCCAGCTCAGTGGTATCCTAGTGTTTCTGCCCTGCTGAGTGAGGAGAGCCTGGTGGGAGCCCAAACACAGCACACGTGTTCTCGTACAAGCATGTTGCTGCACCACACAGGCCTTCTCCTCTCTGGGACAACACTGACCACAGCTCTTGGGAAGGTGTCCCCTGGCAGGCTCCCCAGGGTCATTGTTGTGGGCTCACCCTTAGACTGAATGCCCTGGTGTGCTGCCCTAGAGCCCAGGTGTTCTCACTCCACCGGTCCTGCCTGCAGGGTGTGCTAAGCTCTCAGCGTGTTGGGAAAGGTTGGTCTCTTTTGGTCTCTGCCATGGGCCCTCCTAGCTTCTTGTGTGTTAGTTGCCTTAACATTGGACTGTTTTTCACTGAGACTTGGAGCAGTTGGGAGACATGGTAGGGCCTTGGAGTGGTTGTTTATGGCCCCTTGAAAAGCTCTGTATTAGATTATGGAGAATCTAGCATTCATTTGAAAGCCACACCTCTCCACGCATGTTGGACATTGCACCCCACAGTGGCAGGTTGTAGGACTGAGGTAAGTTACCCTGAGGCCTTGGGCGTCACTTCCTGATACAATGGCAGTAGCTGCTTCAAAATCCGGTCAGCCCTGTTCTAAGATTCCCATTCTCTCCCTTTTAAGGGTGATTTTAGGGCTCGAGAGGCAGGCAGGCAGGACTTTTTCTTTTGGATAGGAACCAGAATTTCATCAGCTTATGCCTTGTGAGTTTTCAGGAGAGATAACAGGATGTCCGTCTGTCTGTCTGTGGGTGAGTCTGTCCCTGAGCTGCTGCTGCTTTGCTGGCCCTGGGCAGCACAGAAAGAGACACAAGGACTCCTTGTATCTGCAGGTTTCTCTGGCCAGTGTTGCTCCCACCAGTCTACAGCATGGGGAATATCTTTGCAAACCTCTTCAAGGGCCTTTTTGGCAAAAAAGAAATGCGCATTCTCATGGTGGGCCTAGATGCTGCGGGAAAGACCACCATCCTGTACAAACTGAAGCTGGGTGAAATCGTGACCACCATTCCCACTATAGGTGAGGAGGCTGGGCCTCGGGAGGCTAGGGGATAGTGGTAGCCCTAGGGAGAGCCTCACACTGGGTCTCCTCCAGGCTTCAACGTGGAAACCGTGGAATACAAGAACATCAGCTTCACTGTGTGGGACGTGGGTGGCCAGGACAAGATCCGGCCTCTGTGGCGCCACTACTTCCAGAACACACAAGGTGAGGGTGGGCCACCCCATTACAACCCTCAGGAGGGGGGCTGTGGCCTTTGGGAGAGGTTGGGAGTGTCCCGGGTGCTTACACTAATGCTTACTGTTCCCTATGCAGGTCTCATCTTCGTGGTTGACAGCAATGACAGAGAGCGTGTGAATGAGGCCCGAGAGGAGCTTATGAGGATGCTGGCAGAAGATGAGCTCAGGGACGCTGTTCTGCTCGTGTTTGCTAACAAACAGGTACGCATGACTGAGCCACCCTGTGTGCTGGTGGTGGGTGCACGTTAGGCAGCCAGCCTCTCAGCGATGGAGGTCTGACGAGGCGGGGGTCACAGGTCAGGTGGAGAGGGTTCCATGCAGTCCCCTTGACCCACGCCTGCTTTGCTACCCTCCCCCCTAGGACCTCCCCAATGCCATGAATGCAGCTGAGATCACGGACAAGCTGGGTCTGCACTCTCTGCGCCACAGGAACTGGTACATTCAGGCTACCTGTGCCACCAGCGGGGATGGGCTCTATGAGGGACTGGACTGGCTGTCCAATCAGCTCCGGAACCAGAAGTGAGCTGTACTCCTCTCTCCTCCCTTCACACTCCCTCCTTCTGCCCTCGCTTTACTCTCATGTGGCAAACGTGCCCCTGTGGTGTGAGTGCCAGAAGCTGTCTCCATGGTCGGTCACAGTGTGCTTCACCATGCTGTAAATGTGCAGACGCAGCCTGCAACTGGGTTTTTATTTAATGTAAATAGTTTTTGTTTCCAATGAGGCAGTTTCTGGTACTCCTATGCAATATTACTCAGCTTTTTTTATTGTAAAAAGAAAATCAACCCACTGTTTAGTACTGAGAAGGGATTTTAGGCACACGGGTCATCCAGGAGTCGCTGTGTCAGAAAAGCCCGATGTTCCTCTTCTGGGCTTTACGTCTGTGTTGAGATCCATTTTGGTGGTTGGTTTTTAACCCAAACTCAGTGCATTTTTTAAAATAGTTACAAATACAAGATAAGGAGAACACTTGAACACACAGAAGGGAGAAATGTGCCTAGTGTAGGTTCTGCAGTAATGGCCTGAGTCCAGTCCACCAGTGGTCTGTTTCCCGTTGGGAACGTGAAACGGGGCAGAACCAGCTATGATCCATTCTGCATGGTCACAATAGGATCCCTGTGATTTGCTCTGTCTTGGGTCATCCCACACCCCATAGCGTTTGTGCTTGTATCTGTGCTTACATGGCTGCCCAGGAGATGGGCTGGAGGCTGCAGCCACCACTCTCAGACCCCTTGGAGGAACCCCAGCCTTTTCTTGGGTCAGCATGGGCACTTTGGTTGGAACGCTCTGGTTTGAGCGGGAGCCCTGCAGTCCCCTTGCTTGCCTGCTCCGGGCTCTCTGGGGTCTCACCAGCAGGAGCGTGGGTGGTCATCCTTGAGCCCCAGCCCCTCGGAGCCCCTGTCTATGTGTGCTTTCACTCCCTCAGCCTGCAAGGGTCAGATTTGCCATCGAAAAATGATAACCTCTACTTTTTTCTTTTGTATTTTGATAAACACTGAAGAAGCTGGAGCTGTTAAACTTTATCTTGGGGAAAACCTCAGAACTGGTTTATTTGGTGTCGTGGAACCTCTTAATGCTTTCAATACACAATTAGTAATCAACTGTTTTGTATACTTGTTTTCAGTTTTCATTTCGACAAACAGGCACTGTAATTACAGCTATTAGAATAAAATCTCTTAACTATTTCATGGCTCTCCCATTTTTGGGTGCCCCTGACTGACAGTCTGCCTCTTGGAAGCTGGGCAGGGACAGCTGCTTCCTCCTCACTTAGGGAGGGCAGCATTGATCTGACTTGCCCTGTTCCCTCTCTCTGCCCATCCCTTCCCTGCCACCCCACCCTTGTCTCCCTCCCCCCCTCCCCCACCGCTTCACTTTCCATGGGTGGGTGTGGGTATGTCCCAGTGCCCTTGTGGTGACCACCTCATTGGTCTCATGCTGGCAGTCCAGCCCCCTGGTCCCAGTCTTGGCAATGCCTGGTTGTGAAAGGAACGCCAGGGTCACCATATGGAGTATGCCCAAAAGGCTAGGGCCAGGTGTTATGTGGAGGAAACCCCCCACCCTTCCTAACATCCACCCTCTGTGGTACCCCCCAAGCCAGCCAGCTTGTCCTCTGGAGGGGCGGGAACCCCTGGCCAAGCTCCACGTCACTGCCACAGCGATTGACCCATGCCTGGCTGGGTGCTTTGTGCACCTGTGCCATAGACCCTGTCCCACTTTTGCAGGGGTTGTCCCTCTGACCTGGAGCCCTTCTTGGCACCCTTGTTCCCCCCACTGGGTGCAGGCATTGGCAGGCGAAGTTCCAGGTGTCCTTTCCCCCAGAAGGCAGGCTGCCCCACCATAAATAATGATCTGCTCTAACAGGTTGAAAACCAGTGCTGAGTGCTCTGAAGACAGAATTGCCTTCAGCTCTCATTTCTTTGAAAATCAGAAGCAAAACAAGAACCTCCATAATGAATCCAGGCTGGGTTTTGTCTTTATTCCAATGTGGTTGTAAGATGTTTTCACTTTTTCTGGGGAGGGCCAGGTTGTATGTATGCCTCCCAGCCTTGGAGATGGGGGGCCGGGTGGAGGGAGCCAGTGCCATAGCACGCAAAGGGGATGGGGGTGAGACAGTGGTTAAGAGGTCCCTTGGTGGCCTGGAGAGACAAGGGTGGCTCCAGGTACAAGTCCAGCTCCCCATGATCTAAATGCCCAGGCTGCCCCTTCTAGCATGCTCACCTACCTGCAGCTGAGCACTCTTTGGCCCCTCTGCCTTCCCTGCTGGCCACACATGACCCAGAGCTCTTGGTACACCTGAAGTTGATGCAGGGGACCAGGCCAACATGGGACCCCAGGATGCTGACCACCAAAAGGACAGTGCCCCTCCCAATGGGCTTGCAGGTAGTCTTGCTGGAACTCAAGAGATTTACCACATTTTCACACATCACGTTCTATTGTGACACAAGACAACAACCTTCCCTTTAGTATGAGACACTTTCCACTTAAAATAAGTTTATTTAAGTACAAAGAATGAGTCAACACAAAGAAGAATAGAAGTAGCCATACTTGGCCACAACTAAGCCTCTTTGGGGACCTGGGGTGACCCCCACAGGCCAGCCCTCCAGATCCCTGGGCCTCAGTCGCTGTCATGCCTGCGCTTCCTCTTGCAGCAAGTCGAGGAGTCTGAGTCATGCCTAAGGGAGACCAAGGGACACCTGGCGTGAGGGCCCCTGCCTGCCCAGCACTGTGTCTCCATCCCCAGGCAGCTGCACCTACTGGATGGGAGCAGGGGGCTGTGAGGAATCCGGCCCCTTCCCGTGCTCCTTTTCTTTCCTCCTCTTCTCTTTCTTGTGCCTCTTCTTCTTTTTCTTCTCCTTCCTGCTCTTCCTGTGGCTTTCAGGGCTGCAAAGGATGATACGGAGTGCCAGGAGCCTCTGGGGTTTTGGGGGTCTAGCCGGGGTGGGGCCACCACAGTAGCCACTGACCATGTGTAGCCATTTCAACCTCAAATCACTAAAGGAAACTCCTCAGTACCGTGTGTGGCCAGTGGCTACCATGGTGGGCATCACAGACACATTCCAACCACGGCAGAAAGGTCTGCAGGGCAGCACCTGACAATCTCATGGCTCCTTCCAGCCTTCCCCATTGGGATGCCCCTGCACTCTTGGGGCCGGGTGGTGACCCCCTCCTGTGCTCCCCAGACCCTCGCACAAGTGGCCCATGTCTGAGCATCCTCCTCCAGGGCCCCTGACCCTGCAGGGGGTTGGTAGGCAGTCCTGAGACTGCCCCAGGGCTCAGAATCTCCAGAGGCTCCTCAAAAGAAAAAAGGGGCTGGAGCTGGGGAGTTCACTGACTGGAGAAGCAGCCAACATGCCGAGAAAACAGTGAGTTCTGTGCCCTGGGAGGCCTTACCCCGGCTCCACCTTCTCCTCTGACCGAGGCTTCTTTTTGGCCGAGGCCGGGGAGGTCCCTGTCCGACTGCTCTCCACGCGGTGGTGCTGCCGCCGAGAAAAGCCACAAGCCACTCAGCGGGTGTGCGGGGCGCCCTGGCATACCGACCGGCGAGAACGAGCCAGAAGCTGGGAGGGTATCCCCAAGGAGAGACGGCCTGCCCCCATGGCCCTCAACAGGAAGAGGCACTCAGACCGCCCCCCACCCCACCATGGGATCCCAGGATGTTTGGGGGTAGTTACCGTGAACACTGAAAGCCCCAGCTTAGCAGCCTCTTTGTCTTCCCGGGACAGCGCCACTCGACCTGCAGAGCCACTGCGGGGACGTGGGTGAGATCCCCCCATGGTGAGACACACCCCCACAGACACACCCACGGCGAGGACCGCCCATCCCCAGGCCTCCCTAGAGAAGTGGTGCGCCCAGACGACCCGTGCTAGCGTCCACCTGGGCGGCTGACAGTGCGGAGCCCCGAGGAGCCACGCCCTCGCGATTTCTGGGGCCCCCAAGGACCCTCTGGCCCCGCACCTGGAGCTCCCCAGGCCCAGGAGCCGGTCCACTCCCTTCTCGGGGTCACCGCCTTCCCGCTTACAGACTTCGACAAAGTCCTGTTGGGGAGGGGAGTGCAAGTGCTCACCGCAGCGCAGGGTCAGACCCCTCCCAATCCCGCCCCCGCACTCCAGGAGGGCCCACCACTCACCTCCTTGCTCAGGCCGGTGGGCTGCTTCCTTACGTTCTTGTAGCCTCTGCGGGGGCCGCGCGTGAGCTTCAGGGAGCTGCGGGCCTCGCCTCGGCCCCTGCCCCTGCCGCGCCCCCCCCCGGGGGGAAACCCACACCCGCCCCCCACCCCCCCCCCCCCCCCCCCCCCCGCCCCCCCCACCCCCACCCCGGCCCAAGCTCTCAAGGCGCACTCACAGCGCTGCCATGAGCGCCTCCTGCTCCGCCTGCCTCACAGCCGCCAGCTCCTGCTCCCGGCTCAGACCCGCGCTGTGCTCCCGGCCCTTGGCGTACCAGGTGAGGTCACGGCCCTTCTGCCAGCGGCCCACCGGGGCCATGAGCGAGTTGCCTGCGGGAAACGGAGCGCCGAGTGCTCGGCACGGCCCGCGGGTCGGCGCACCCCCAGCCCGCGAGCCCCCGGTCCCTGCGCCCCACTCACCCAGGTAGTTCTCCCTCTGCTTATCAGTCTTCACATCCTCCCAGCTGAACTGGTCCTGCCCGCCGCGCACGCCGCCCCGGCTGGAGCCGAACATGGTAACAGGCAACCCTCTACCTCCCGACTTCCCGGTACCCAGGCCCCACAGGTCCCCGCTCCCACTCACGCGTCGCACGCGGTGACGTCACGCCTGCGCCAAACCCGTGCGCTTGCGCTCTGTTTCCTCCTCGCCTCCCGAAGGTGTCCCGCCGTGGCGCGCCTGTGCCTCAGTGCCGGCCCCCGAGCGCTTGCGCACTGCCGCGGGCCCAGCGGTGGCGCTGGCAAAGGTGCGGAGGCTGGACCCGGGCACCCCAATGACAGGACAGCCGTTATTAGAAGTCACATTATGTGGGTGACGCCCCAGAGTCACTGTTCCCATTGTGTGCCGTGTTCCCTTGGCTGTGCCGGCAGAGGGGCAGGCACTGGAGAGACGTCTGCAAACCCGCACTGAGTTTCCCGGCTATAGCTGCTTGAGGTTTCGATCAGGTAGCAGGCTGCCCCAGAGACAGGGAGCCGCCAAGGTCAGGTCGCGCCTGCACCGCTCGTCCTCCGCCGTCGGGGGTACCGGCTGTGTCCAGTTCCCAAGGAAGCACACCTCATCGCGTTCGTTCCCCAGACAGCGCAGAGAACGCCTCAGTCACCCACAAAGTGTTGGCAGATGCTTCTCATTCGGCACCGTTTCGGTCATTGCTGCTGTCAGGTGATGGCTCAGTATCCGAAGTAAATTGAGCTAGTTGTAGGGCAAGCGCGTTCCGTTTATCACCAGAGCGAACCAGACTAGATTCAGTGATAACGGTGCTAGTGAGTGGAGGGGTGCCACTCTATTAGCCAACCCCTGCTGAATTGAAACCGTCGGCTGAACAAATGTTCTCTGAGGAATTTACAGCAAGGTGTCAAGAGTGTTATTCTGTATGCCCTTTGTATTAGTCCTTTCACAAGACACTGCCCTCCTGCAGGTTACTCAGTGAATTCACCTGATGGGCTGGCAGGACATTAAATGAGAAGAGGCCTTTCACCTGGCCTTCCTCTGAACCTGCTTTCTCGGGGAATCCCTTACTTGCCTGACGGCTGCCGGGGGCATCCTTGAGCAAGCCAGGTTGGCAGGGCCTGGAGTGGACAGCTGCTGTGGGGGCCGGGGGGTGGTGCAGTGCAGTGGATGTCCCCGTGCAGCTGTACAGTGCTGGTGTGGTGAGTGGACCAGAAGGGGTTGGCCTTCTGATCTAGAGATAAGGTACAGGGTTCATCTCCCACAGGCTGCTGGCTCCTGCCTCCCAGGTCATGAACAGAATGCCGTCCCCACCATCTACTATATGACAGTGCTCTACAACTGGCCCTCAGGTTTATGAAAAGGAGCCTGACAACCAAGGACCTAACGAGAAGCAGCCTCAGGCCTGGGCCGGGTCAGCTGCCTTAAAAAGGCTGGGAATTGCTCCCTTGGGTTTTGCAGGAAGGCTGCCAGGGTAAAATCAACCCCTGGAGCAGAAAGGCAGCAGTCAACTGGAAGGCCTAGCAGATTGTAGCTACAATGCACTGCAGACCTCAGTGGCATTAACAAAGAGGAGCGGCCAGTCCCTTTGGCCCCTTTGATGGGGAGCACCTTCCCACTGCGTGCTGGGTAGGGCTGAGGGAGCCCTGGTGAGGGGTAGGGCAGGCCAGCTGTAGGCTAGGTGCAGATGTCCTTGGATCCCAGACACCCTGCTCCTCCCACCTACTCTTGGTGGCCACTGTGCTCCCCCAGGAGAGTCCCTGGTGCCCTGAGGCTGAAGGCAGCGCTAGAACCAAGGGGGCTCCAGGACCCAGAGAGGCAGGTACAGCAGTGGCCAGGCTTCCCTGCAGTAGGAAGAGCACCCATGACCTCGGTACTGTTGAAGGATCACATGCCCTTTGGACCTCATCCTAAAACCACAACTGATCTGATTCTAAGCCCTCCATTCAGCTCAGTTGTAGAGACCCTCAGGCTAGGGCACATGAAAAGGAAAGACAAGATGGACACAGCTTCGTGAACACATGATTTAAAGACACATGCCCCTCCCTGCTCCATAGCATCCCCCTCGGTCAGAGCAGCTTCCAGGCACCATCACTTTTTGGTCCAAAACTGCTTGTACTGCTCCACATCGAAGTCGTCACCGAGCTCTGGCTCCTCCTCCTTCTCTTTGACCTGGGCCTCTCGTTTCCGGAACCGTGCACGCCTCTCCTCTGGGGACAGAGAGTCCAGGTCCACGGGCATCTGCGGGGAGGAAGGGATGTGTACATGGCTCAGGTGGAGGGTACCAGGATGTTCTCCAGGGTCTCCACTTCACCTTGTTATCATCTACCACACAGTTTAGGTCTTATGTGTTCTGTTGGGTTTTCTCTCCCTTTGAAGCTTTTATTTTTTAAAAAACTTTTTCTGCTTGTTTTCTCAAGACGTGATAGTTTTTTGAATACACACCTCACTATTGCTTTCTCATCTTGATGTGTGGAGTGAGCTCCAGGTCACCCTCCTCCCTCTCCTCAAACAATTCTGACCCATGACTCGCCTTCCCTCCCCAGTCCAGTGATGGTGGGTTCTGACCCCATGAACCCCTAGAGGAGCAGTTTCTACAGGCTAAGACCTGCACCCCAGGGGAGTGTTGGGGAAGGAAGCTTACTGTGAGTATCTGTCGGGGCTCCCGGTAGCGGATGTGGATGGTGGAACCATCCTGCTTGACCAGGAGCACAGGGTAGAGGCGTGCGTAGGTCTGCCGGTGCACTCGAGTGAGTGAGGCTCTGTTGCAATCAGCCCGCTGGGAGGACATATACAGTTGGCGGCGGCTCTCAAGGGCAGCCCCTGTCACCACACGCTGCCAGAGCAGGCTGCAGACACACACGTGCTGGTCAGCGGTTGGTGCCAGGACCAGAGTGGCCACGCAGCCCAGCTCCTATGGGGGCACACAGCAACCCGCACCAGGGCAGGATGTGGTCAGAGTAGCTCCACCCCACATCCAGAAAGAGGCTGCAGGGGTGAGCCCACAAGGCTCTCAGATGGGTGAGGACAGAGTCCACAGCCAGGACCCTGGTGGGTGTCTCTGGTGAGGCCTGGCCCCATAGCTAGGGTGCTGGACTACAACATTGAGTGGGAAGCTGACTTCCAGGCGACTGCAAACCTGGTGCTTGGACTGACCATTTGAGTCCATCCCACGCCCTCTCCCCATTCACACATTGAAGCCCTAACCCCCCGTGAGATGGTGTCAGGAGGTGGGACCTTTGGGTGGTGATTTGGATTAGATGAGGTCGTGAGGGTAGGGTCCCCCCAGTAGGATTGGTGCCCTTATAAGAGGAAGAGACCAGAGAGCTAACTCTCTCCTCCATATGAGGACACTGCAAGAAGGCAGCCATCTCTGAACCAGGAAGAGAGACTTCACCAGAACCCTGCTGGCACCCTAATCTCAGACTTCCAGCTTTCTTAAGCTGCCTGGTCTGTGGTGTTCTGCTAGGTCAGCCCAAGCAGACCGAGACAACTGGTCCACTTGGCTTCTGAGTGTGGTGGGCGCTCAGCCCTCCCGCACACAGCAGAGCACATGCTTCAAGGTGACAGGAAAGGGCTAGGTACTCTTCATGCCCCACTCTACCCAGCCACGTGACCCCACATTTGTCTCACCCACTCGGGACCTCGATTTCCCTGTCCCAGCCTTTCCCTGTGACACCCCGTCCCAAAGTCCCTTCCAGGCTGGCTTTCATGCAAACTTGAATTCAGAGCCCCAGGCTGTGCCTCAGTCCATCCGTTTCCTCCCTCACAGGTTTGAGGAAGAATGCATTCAAACAAGTACCAGAATTTCCTGGAATTGTCGGGTACTCTGGAAGTGACCTTCTTCTCCTGGCATTCTTTTGAACACTCACGGTGGACAGGCATCCTGCACACTCACCATGTGCCTTTTCCCAAACCCCTCACTGCATGGGCAGTCACATCAATGCAGACCTTCCCAACAGCCTCCCACCTGGTCCCCATTTCAATTCCAGTTAAGTTCCCCTGCTTTGTGGGTAGTGATTCTAAAAACCTGATATTCACATCACTTCAGTAGCTCCCACCAGACTTTCAGGACTTCTCTCTCCACAAAGCAGCCAGCATGAGCACATGGGCCACGCACAGCCACAGTATGGCAGCCTCTGCTTTGGCTGTGGTTCCCACCACCCCCTGCACTCCCCAGCTGACACCTCAGGCTGAGGGCCCATCTCCTCCACTAGCCTGATGGCCTGGGGCAAGAATTGCATCTTATTTGCTATCAAGTCCCAGACCCTCCCTAGCTAAGTGCTCGTAAATTTTGGCAAAATGAATCCAGTCCCTGCCTCCAGAAGTGCAAGACTGGAGAAAGGAGGTGGTGGGCAAACTCCAGCACCAGAGGAACCTGCAGTCAGTTGGGCAGGGCCTGTACCTAAGCAGCACCAGGGAGCCCAGGGCACAGCCGCTCCGGAGAACCTGGGGTTGGTGACTCAGGAGGCTTCTGGAAGGGGCTGGAGTCAACCCTTGAGGGGAAAGAGTGGATGTTTTCCCACCAAACAGCAGTTGCAGTTCCAACATGAACCTTCTCCAGCAATGAGGGCCCTCCCGGGAACGCTGCAGCCCGAGTCCCTTCTCCATCTTCATACTAACCCACAGCTTCAGGTGCCACATCCCTCTCCCTAGATTCCACAGAAACAATTCAAAACCTGCATTCATTTTCTCCTCCATCAATACTTCTCACCTGGGGGAGACCAGGGAGTGAGAGGAACACGCAGACGGGGAGGCAGTTCTGGTGGTAAGAGAAGGAAGGCCATGATCTTCTCCATGGCTGGCCCGCAGGCTCTGAATAGGACAGTGACCACCATCACATCTGTTTGGTGCCAGGTACTCACAAGTCACTTCCATTCCTCCTTCAACACTTAAGGTGTCCACACATACGTACTTGTATGTATTCTCCAGATAAACACACTGGCTCTGGAGGTTTTCCTGAGGCAGCAGACCCTAAGGCTCTTAAGCTGGCATTCTTTGGGTGGCCCCATTACAGCAGTCCCGAGAGGCCTGGAAGTCCATGCTTACCCAAGCAGTCTGCCCTTGGCCACCATTCCTCCTGCAGCACGTGAAAGCCCAGGGTCAGTCACTGGCCCAGTGTGTGACCTGCTAGGCAAAGAAATGAGAGATCTTTTTAAAAGGCAGGCTTTTCCACCTAACTGATTCTCACCAAATCCCAGCCAGGAACAAATTGGTCTCCGAGACATTACCAGGTCAGTGCCAGTCTTGCCCAGTAACCTCTCAGGCTTCCAGCCCTGACCTGGCATTAGAATCACCTGTGGAACGTTTTTGACCCGGAGATGCCCCAGTCCTACTCCCCAAAACTCTGACTTAGTACGTCTGCAGCAGGGCCCGGGACCTTTCTGGTGGGTTGCTGAGTCAGGGGAGCCACTCTGAGGATGGAATGCAACGTAAACGGCGAAGACTAGCTCATATCTTGTTTTCCAAGGTCATTGCATTCTCACAAAATCCAGCGAGGTAAAGATTACAAAAGGGCAGCCGCGGCTTACTAAACCTTGAGTCCCAGGGAAACTGAGGTTTCCGCGGTGACAAACCAGTTGTTTCAAATGTCAAAGACCTGATGTATCAGACATTCAGACCCCAGGAAAAGAGCCCTCCCGGCCGAGATGAGAAGGTTTGCCTCGCCATCCCCAGTCAGGGCAGGGCATCTGCAGGCTTCCTTCCGCCTTAGGACGTGACTCAGCAGGACAACGAAATGCTATAAACCTCCCAAGCGATACCCGCCCATTCTCTCGCCCTCGAGGGCGGCCTGCGGCGGGGCCCGGACCCTCCCTTGGGGGAAGCCCTCCAAAACCCGCGCGACGCGGCGCCTTTCCGGCATCAACTTGCCACCCTCACCGCCTCCGGAGCGGCCTCGAGGACCAGCGGCCAGGCCGCCACTGGCCAATCGGGCGCCGGACTGGCCAGAGCCCAATCCACAATCACTGTAAACGCGGCTTTCAGTTCTCCTGCGGCACCGCCACAACGTCATCCGGCGGGCGCAGCGTCGTGCTGCGCTGACGTACAGCCTTGAAAGGCGGGGCGAGGCCGCCGCAGCTCTGACCAGCTTACCCGCTGGCTGAGGCGGGTCGGGCGCCGCGCGGAAGTGTTTCTCTGAGGGGCGGAGAGAGGCCGGGCCGGCGCGGCGCTACTCTGTGACGTACGTCCCCGCGGGCGGTGGCGGCGGCCCTTCATGCTGCGGCGCCCGCTGGCCGGGCTGGCGGCGGCCGCCCTGGGCCGGGTCCCCTCGGACGGTGAGTGGCGGCCCCTCGCGTGGGGGCGGAGGTCCGGGCGTGCGCAGGCCCACGGGAGGGCCTTCCTGGGGAGTCCGGTCCCGGGCTCGCGTGTCGCTGTCTGAATCCGCGGAGGAGAGACGGGGACCGCCGCTGCTTGCGTGCGAGGGGTCGCCAGAGCCCGTGCTGAGCGCCGGTGTCGTGGACCTGCCTGAGGGACTCGTGGGGCTGTGCTCGTGAATTCTGTCATCCCGCCAGGCACCGAAATTGCCCTCGGCGGTCCTCAGTGGTTTCCAGAGTTCCGTCTCGGAGCGAGCAAAGCAGGGTAGACAAGGAGAGGGTAGTGTGTCTTCTCATGGAGTTTGCAAATTCAGGGAGGCTTTCCTTCGCTTTGAAGTTGTATCCCGTGTGTCTGTGTTTTAGAATTGCTTTTGGTAGTTACTATTTTACTTAGAGAAATTAAAAGGTGGTTCCCCTGTGTCAGTCCTCAATATGTAGGAGGAAATTCTCCTGGCACGGGAAGCTCCAAACAGCTTGTAAAACCCCTGCAGCTTGAGGACTTCATGCTGGATGCCATTGTGGACCCTGCAGGATGCGTGGGGGCAGAGAGGGGAGCAGCCTGACACCCCTCTCCAAGGTGGGCCACACAGCAGAGCCAAAAACCCTTCGAGATCAGGGTTTTGAAAGACCTTAGGTTGCCCCTGGTATGGCAGAGTCGCAGAAGTCCCGATTAGCTCACCCGGCCTGTAGATGTATGTAGTCTACCCCGAGCTCAAGAGGAGCAGCACAGATAACAGTTGTGAAACCCTCCCGGTGGTCCAGCTTTGGTGCTATGTTTGGTTCCCAAATACTGCCAACGCAGGGGCGTCCTAGGTGGGCAGAGCTGACTGCTCCAAGGACTCCCAGCCAGGAGGGCCCCTGGGACTGCTACAGGTTCCTGGCCAGCCCCACAGCCCAGCGCTGCTGGACATTGCAGATATGGGTACTCCACGCAGGAGCAGGTGGTTGGTGGCAGGCCTTCCTGACTCGTGGGCATGGTAGCTGGGGTTCAGCTTCCCTCAGGACAAGACACCCCAAGTCTAGGTTGCTGGAGCTGCCCATCTGCTGATTTTAGACATTGTTTTGGGAGCAGTGAGAGGGAGTGAGTCTCCACCCAGATGTTGGTTTGAGGAGGAGCAGTGAGGGGTGCCACCTCCCATGTTATCAATGTCTTTTGATAAGGGTGGAGGAGGTGGAAGCTCAGGTGATGATTGGCCAGTGTGGGATGAGGCCCACGGGGACAGGAGGAGGGAGGCCAAGATGTGCTTCTCATGGTCAGCCTTGCACGAGTCCCCTGTGAGTGCCCCTTGGCAGCATGCCTGGCCAAATGTGGACTTTTCTGTCATTCTTTCACTTCCCAGACCATGACTTGTGAGGGACCCAGGAAAACCTTCACCTTCGCCACCAGGACGGATGTGGGGTGGGTGTGGCTTCCTGTCTTATCATTGATAAGCTGAATTTCCTGCCACGTGAGCCCCCACTCTGCCCTTTCCTTGTAAGAATTCCACACACTTGCCTGCACACACCAGGCCAGCTTGTGATCTGGGTTGGTGCCACACCAGTGATAGGTGTAGTTTGCTTGGGCTTTCCTTTAGACTCTGAGAACACGTTGATCCAGCCCTTGACCTTGGTCTGGAACTGGTAGGATCAGCAGTTTATTTGAGGAGCACATTCTGCAAGTTCTGAAGTTGTACATTTTTCTTCAGCCACACCCAAACTTTTTTTTTTTAAACACTTGAACTGTTGATCTCCATCGTTTGCGTCACATTTAGCATAGCCCAAGAAACGCGTGCAGAGGATTTGAGGAAGAGCAAGAAGGAAGGTATTATGATGTGGTTGGGGGTGGAAGGAAGTGACCCCAGTCCTCAAGGAGAAAAGGGGAAGCACAGAGGGTGAGCTGTTGGGGCACTGGTATGGAGGCAGGTGCTCTTCAGTCGGGCTCTGACCCCTGGCTGAACCTGTGTACCAGGCCTCTGTTCCCCCTGGGTCCGTCTCTGATCCTGTGCGTGCTGGGCCTTGATTTCCCCTGGTCCCTGGCTGAGCCTGCATGTTCCAGGCCTTGGTTTTCCCTGGTCCCTGGCTGACCCTGGGTGTGCTTGACCTTTGTTCCCCTCTCTGTGAGAGTGAACGCTGCCCCAACCAGAAGGGCTTGGGCTTTTTCTTGCTCCATGATTTGTATGTCCTGGACCCTTTCCCTTTCATGCTCCCTCTGCCTTCCCTTAGGGCTAGAACTGAGGATCTCATGTGGGACTGAATCCCGGTTCTTCTCCTTGATGGAAAGAGATCCAGATGCAGCTGTGTAGTGCCATGACAGGCCTGAGTCCTCCATAGTGTGGCTTCTTGCCAACACTTTTGAAGGACAGGCTTCCTCTCAGGGAAGGCATGGGCTCACCCCACTGCCGGGAGAGGAGGTGAGAAGAAAATCGCTGGCTGCGTTGTGGCTCTCCCACTTCAAGTCAGGTTCTTGAAGGTTAAGTGGTTTCTTAAGGTCATTGGGCCAGGACATGTCCCACACACGGAGCACCTGAGGCCAAGGCCAGTGTAGTCCTCCTGTCCCACACAGCCTTTTTGGGGGATAGGGCATGACCAGCTATCCTAACCCAGATCAACTCATGTCTTGTGGCTTGTGTTTCGCAAGAGGGCTGATGGGGTTTGACTTTCTCTTCTGTGTATCCTCAGAGGGTTGCACCTTGTCTTAGTGTCTCATGGAGGAGTGGGGAGGGAAGTGGAGTGGTGGCCATGCCCAGCCCTTGGGACAGGGCGGGAAGGCAGGTGGAAGCAAGAAGGAGAGCAGGAAATGCTTCTGGAGGCAAGCCTTCCAGGGCTGCCTGAGGAGCTCCTCGTGAGGGGTTCCAGTAGAGAGCATTCCAGAATGCACAGGCTTGCACCAGCGACTCCTACAGAAATTGCATCCCTGATCCTTATTGCTGTCCTTGTGAAATTTCCAGTTTCTTGCCAGGAAGCTGGGGTTCAGAATTGTGGAATAGTCAAGGAGTAGAGGATACAGAGCATTCCTAACTGCCAATCAGTTCTACCAGCTGCTGGGGCCAAAATCAGGCTCAGGGGTATCTGGCACATTTGATCACTGGGACTGAGAGGCCCTGAGGTCTGTCCCACACTGAGTGTGCTCCTGTCAAAGGTGGCTTTAGTGAGCACTCTATCACCACGATCACTGGGTGGAGCCCAGTACCCAGCGACTCCCCAAGTGCCTTCTGCAGGGCTAGTCCACTCCAATGTGGTCACTGTGGCTCGGGCCCTTGTGCTAAGAGGAGGTGACCTCAGGGAGGAGCCCCACGAGAGGAAGGGCTCTGGATCCCACCCACCTCAAGGCAGTGGTGCTAGGTGGGTGCCCCCTCCCCTTGTCATCAGTAGTGTAACCTTTGAAGGAGGGCACGATGGATGGCCAGCACTGGGAAGGCCTGGGGCCTGGACTTGAGGGGCAGGTTGGGGCTCAGGAGGATACCCTGTGAGGAGTGGGCTGGCAGGGTAGGGTGATGATTTGGACCCAGGCAGGGAGTGAACTTTGCAGCCATCAGCCAATCCCCATGCGTGCATACATACCTGCTGCTTACTGCCAGTGGTTGTTGGGCTGGGGATGGGAGGTCTCAGTGGGATGCAGGTGCCGTGCCCATGCCCCCAGGGTTCACAACATGGGGTAGAAAGCCAGATAGAAGCCAGGTAAGATGATGAGTAAGACTTGTGCACAGCATGCTCCTTGAGGGTTTCAGGCGCTGGGACTTCCACGTGTAGTGTTTGGTCCTGATTGAAGACATGTCTTCCCTATGCAGGTTTGCAGTGTCCAGATGTTAGAGCTTATGACCACAACATCTGGCCATGATTGCAGGCATGGGGAACAGGGCAGGAACTGCCAGGGAAACATGTTAGGGGCCTGTGTGCTGGCCTGGAGGCACAGGGCAGGTCAAGACCATGTAGCCTCTGGGTGTTGCTGGCAGGTTTACCGTTGAGGGCTGTGGGACGTGAGGGCGGGGCACCTGTTCAAGTTGGCAAAGGAGCATAGTGTTCCTGAGGGGCTTCTTCATAGATAAGCAGGATGGGTCTTCCCCTCCCTGGAGGTGGATACCCCAAGTTGGATCCAGAAGGCACCAGCTGCATCCACTGAGTTGAGGGTTTGTTGCTGTGAGCAAGGCCCAGGTAGGCTTTCTGGTCCATCTCTTGTGAGCATTGCCATGTGTCCACTTGATGTTGCCCCCGCCCTGGAGAAACTCACATTCCTGTGGCGCCTACATGCTGCCGGGTCCTGGGAAGACCTACACTGCTGAACAACCACAGCCCTCCTGCTTGCAAGGTGGGGAGGCAGTGTGTGTGCGGCAGTGACTCGGCCCAGTCCAGAGGCCAGGCAGTGTGGTGGCAGACCCCAGCCTCCATTGCCTTTCTCTTGCCAGGGCTCCTCTAGGAGCAGCAACCTTACTCAGGGACTGACTGGCCCCCAATATCTCCTCTGTCCTCCTATGCCCCTCCACCCCAACGTAGCTCTCTCCACAACCGTGGTCACTCACTGTCAAGTCAGGACAGACCCAGGGGGGTGGACTGGGTTGCCCACAGGACATTCATTCTGCAAAGGAAGGAACTTTGTGAAGGCCAACAGTGAGCCAGAGATGAGACCTTCCCATGCACCAGTCCTTAGGGTAGGGCGGGGGCTGCGGTCTATTGGGCAGCAACAGCAGTGGGCTTAGAGTCGGACACACACACATGTGGGCATTTGTATGGTGGCACTGTGTCTGGGTGGGAAAGTCAAGACACCAGAAAGGAATTGGGAGTCCAGTGGGACCGTTGCTAGATAAAAACGGTGTACTGTTGTCATAGGAAACTTGGAAGAGACAAGGGAACTAAGAACGGGTCACTTAGAAGTGACAGGTAATTGATGAGCTCCTCTGGGTCCATTTCTTCTATCTCTCTTCAGCAGGGGAACGTATCTGTTTCCCGACTCCTTCTCCAGGGTGTTTGCATATGGCATGATGGTCCCAGAATAGCTAGCTATGCTTTAGCCAGATTACCCAGGTTCGCCTCATTGCGGATTAGGGAAGCAGTGACCACCTGGGGCCCTGCTGGAGAGCTGCCCTGGGCTAGATGACTGGGTGTCCCCAAGCAGAGTGGCCTGTCCCTCCTGGGCCTCATCGCTGGTCTGCTGGCCACTGACTGCTCCTCCACACCTTACCAGGCACCCCACAGACAGAGCCCTGCTGGTGTAGGCCAGCTCACCACACGCCCTCCCAGGGTCTCCCTCCAGAGCAACACATAGCCTCCCAGCCCCCTAGCTCAGTGCCTGCCTCAATTCCTGTCTTCTGAGGCTCCAGATGCACCTGACCTTCCTCAGCCCGTCTTGTTCATGTGGCTGGGTGGGCAAGTGCGCATCTCTAGGGTGAGGAGCAGCCTTTGCCCTCTGCTGAGCAGGTGGTGCTGGCTGCCCTGGGAGGGATTTAGTGCTTAGAGGGTGGGGAGCAGGCAAGGATTACCACTCTCCTCTCAGCTCATCCCGAGCAGCCCCAAGGTGAGCACGGAGGCTGCACCCCACGCAGAAGGTAGGTCCTGTATGAGGGGTGCTGGGGTGATCCGATGGGCACAGAGCAGGCTAAGCTGATGCTTCCAGAGCTCCCCCACTATTCCTGCCCTCGGCGTGTTCACCTGTGGCAGGTGTCTGAGCCCTGTGCTATGAGCTGGGAGGGTGGCACCCATTGCTCTCCTGCTGACTTCATGAGACCCAAGGATCAGAGAAGGGGAGTCAGGAAGCTGTGGTCGTTTGTGGTCAGCCCCTTGCTTTTCAGTGGAAGTTCCCAGAAGAGAGCTTGGGTTCCGCTGACCTTGACCAAGGGCACCTCTGGGGTGTGGTGCCAGGAGACACAGGAATTGGGACCCGGACATGCCCCTCCCAGGAGCTCCTTGATGGTGGGATAGGAGTGGACAGCTGGGGAGGCCACACATTTGTGGTCAGTGCATGTATTACCAGGTAGCACTCCCAAAGGGAGGCATAGCCAGGGTTTGAGCATGGCTCTGAGTGACTGCCCACAGCTCTGCCCAGTTTCTGGGGTGAATTCACTTGGGGCAGAGGTGGGGGCACTGCAGCCACCTCGCCCACTTCCATAGGGAGCAAGGCCCTGCTGATATTTGTCTCCCCCGTCCCCCGCTACAGGGATGTCAGGACCAAGGCCCGTTGTCCTGAGCGGACCCTCAGGGGCTGGGAAGAGCACCCTACTGAAGAGACTCCTGCAGGAACACAGCAGCATCTTCGGCTTCAGCGTGTCCCGTGAGGCCCCAGGGGAGGTGGGGGAGGGTCTCAAGGAAGCTGGGGGCGGGGACCCCTGCTGACATGCTCTGAAGCCCCCCACACTCCCACACGGTGGGGCGGAAGCCCCCACACTGCTGACCCTAACCTGGAGCCTCCTCTCCCACACCCCGAGATGGGCTGAGCCAGGCCCTGTGGGCAAGGCCCTGGGGATGGGATGCCTGGGGCTCCAGGTGTTGTCCCAAGTCAGTCACTGGTACTTGTTCCTAGACACCACAAGGGACCCGAGGCCAGGAGAGGAGAACGGCAAAGGTGAGCTTGGCCAGCCTCAGTGCTCCAGCACAGGAATGGAGCAGCCCTCCCTTTGTCAGAGTGATGCATGAGGCCTCAGTCTCCCTCCCCATCAGCTCCTCCTCCTTTGCAGATTACTACTTTGTGACCAGGGAGGTGATGCAGCGGGACATTGCTGCTGGAGACTTCATCGAGCATGCCGAGTTCTCAGGGAACTTGTATGGGACCAGGTGAGCCATGCTTGGGGCCCTCCCTTCCTCCAGTTCTCTCAGGAACCTAGAGTGGGCAGCCCAGGCAGGGGTATCTCTCTGTGGGCACTGAGCAGCGGGTATCCCCTTGACTGGGCCCCAGGTGGGGGGTTTCTTTCTATGGGCTGTCTGGGCAGTTGGGGCAAGGGACCCAGCCCCCCAGGGGTCAGGATGGAGCCACAGTCAGGGCTCTCTGGGCCACTCCCTCCTGGCCCAGCCCCACTTGTGTCTACCTGGCCAGGCTGCTGTGAGAACAGTGGGCCACACGAGGGCCTGGTATGCAATGAGGACTTGGAGGACCTGGGTCTCATAGGTCGGCAGGTTGCACTTTTCCCCACCACCACCTCCAGCCCCTGGGGTAGCCTGAGAGGGTCCCTGGCACAACAGCAGCTGCCCCTCCCAACAACCCACCAGAGCGGGGTCTTTGCTGGCTCCTCGTACCTGGCTTGCAAGGCCTGGAAGCAGTGCCTTGACACAGGCAGGCGTGCCTCTGTGCATAGCCTGTCCCTCAGCCACCTAGCTGGGTGAGGCAGGGACCCCACAGGACCCAGCATACTCTGCCCCAGGTGCAGATGGGAAGAGTGGTGGGCTGCCAAGTGGGGTCATTTGGCCACTGTTGGGACACTCAGTGCCTGCTGAGGAGCAGTGCCCCCAGTGGATGAGGAGCACATGGCACGTGGTGACCCTAGGGTGAGGGGCCAAGGCCTACAAAGGGTGGCCGGGGATGAGGAAGCCCAAGGGCGTGCCGTGTAGTTCTGTGGGGGCCATAGCCAGGGCATCCGTCTCCAAGCAGGGCCCCAGCATGCAGGATATGGGAGGGTGGTCGCCATCGCTAGCCTGAGGGCACGATCCAGGGGGTGATGCCAGAAACTTCTGGAGGCATGATTGGCGGGTGGGACTGATTGGGGTGATGGAGTGGTGTGGGGCCTGGGAGCAGGTGCCAGGAGAAGGAGAGGCCCTGGGCCAGGGTCTGAAGGCGCCCCTCCCTACTGCCACACCAGACCAGCAGAGGGCCCCCTTGTGCAAGGGTTGCTCAGGGAGTACTTCCAGAAAGAGGCAACAGACGCCACAGTTAGGGTGGGCCCCTGTGGGCACCCCCAGAGAGGCCCAGAGCAAGGGATGGGCAGTAGATGGTCCCACTGAGGCTCTTCGAGGCCGTGGGGTCTGCTAGGGCCTCAGGAGCCCACAGCTGAGCAACCCCCTCCTATCATCCCCCAGCAAAGCAGCTGTGCGGGCCGTGCAGGCCATGAACCGCATCTGCGTGCTGGATGTGGACCTGCAGGGCGTGCGCAACATCAAGAAGACCGACCTGCAGCCCGTCTACATCTTTGTGCAGCCACCCTCACTGGATGTCCTGGTGGGGGCTGAGGGAGGAGGGCGGGGGGGCAACCCTGGAGGCTCTGACCTTCTGACTTTCATACTTCATCTCAGGAGCAGCGGCTGCGGCAGCGGAACACAGAGACGGAGGAGAGCCTGGCTAAGCGTCTGGCTGCTGCCCGGGCTGACATGGAGAGCAGTGAGTGTGGGCACCTATCCCTCCGTGTCCCTGGACCCTCTCCAACCCCCACAGTAGAACAGTCCCACCCAGCAAGGGGCAGAGGAGGGCTGGAGCCATCACCCAGCACTGTGGTCCACGTGAAGGGTCCCCGGACCCCCTCCTCTGTCACCAGAGCCTCCACTGACCCTGCCCCCACCCTCAGGCGAGGAGCCCGGCCTGTTTGACCTGATCATCGTCAACGACAGTCTGGACAAGGCCTACTGGGCCCTGAAGGAGGCGCTCTCCGAGGTGGGCTGGGGGTGGAGGTGGGACCTCAGACCTCTGTCTGGCAAACGGGGAAAATAGGCTGGGACAGGTGATATGGCGGCCCCAGGCCCTGGGCGAGACCCTCTTCCTTTTCCCAGCCTCTCTTCCTTTCTCCCCGGCAGGAAATAAAGAAGGCTCAAGCAACTGGTCACTCCTGAGCAGGTCCACCGGCTATAACTCCTCAGGTGGGGCCTAGGGCCTGGCACCCACCCGCAGCGGGCCAGGATCTCCGGCGGTGGCTCTGCTCACCTCAGCTAGCACCCAGGGTTTGGGGTGCTGCCTATCTTCCCTCACTCCCCCACCGTGACTGGAGGAGTTTGCTCTCACCCCCTCTCCCCATGTCCATTTCTAGGCTTCCTCCCCACCCTACCCTATCAACCCCCCTCCCATGGAAGCTGGGCCAACATCCAAATAAAAAACTGCTGGGTTAGAGTGTCCTTGAGCCCTTGGATCATGGCCCTGGGTGGGTGGGGCCACGGTATACCACTCCAGACCCACCCCCCACCCCACCCTCCTCTTGGCAACCACGCCCTAACTGGCCAGCCCCTGGAGGTCCTTGGGCTCCATCCAAAAGTCCAGATGAACAGCGGAGGGCAGGCGGGAGCTGGGCCTGGACACTGGACGGTGGGCAGAGGGGCGCTGGGCAGCCCCTAGGCCTGGGGGCAAGTGAAATGGGACTGGGCTGCCTCCTGACCTACTGTACAGCCTGGGAGAGACTGGTTCCCTCTCTGGGACCCATCCAGCCCCAGGGACAATCAGGGATTCAGACCCCGAGCCTCAGGGGGAACAATGGAGCCCTTGAAGGCCCTCCCCCCACATTGTGCTTGGTGGTGAGAGGTGGCCCTGGGTCGGGTCGGGCCCTGGACTTAGCCGGGTGCACACCCTCAGGAGGGCTGGTGTCCAGCCGGCCAGCAGGTGGAAGGGCTCAGAAGGACTTGTTTCCTGGCCTGGAAAAGGTAGGGTACCACCAGGGGACCAGGTTTGGGGTGCCCTTTGGGGCTGAGCAGCACCCTGTTTACTCTGGGCCCAGGGTCTCAGGGGCCTGGACTCAACTCTCTTGGAACAGCCAACCCCAGGAGATAACGGGTGCTGAGCCTGGTCGGGTGGCCCTCCATTCTGGGGGTCTGTCCATCTCAGGCCCACTGCCCTCACAGGGCCATCAGTCTGGGTGGTGATTCAGCTGCAGTAAGACTCAAGGGTAGGAAGAGGTAGAGGCAGAAGTCTGCCCCTCCCCCTCCCCCAGAAGCTGCTCAGGCCAGCTGATGAGCAAGGGGGGAAGGGGGTGGGCCTCCGAGCAGCTGGGACCCCTCAGGCCATGTGGGACTGGCCAGCCCCTGCCAGCTAGGCAGCTGCAGTGTATCCAGAGGCTGATGCCTTGGGCTATTCAGCCCTGGGGGGAGGTTGGGGAGCCCCAACTCTTCCACATGGGCAGACAAGCTGTAGTTGGTACACCTGCCTGCTGTCCACACTGCTCCTGGTTTAGCCTTTATGTGGCCACGGGCACCTCCTAAACCCTTGTGGCCACCTGCTAGGTCTTGCGTCCTCAGATCTGGGTCCTGGAGGTTAGCAGAGCAGAACAGACTCCTGTTCTCCAGGAGCAGCACCCACTGCGCCACAGATGTGAGTTGTCTGGATGTGGATTGCGTGCAGGGTGGCTGGACATGAATGGGGAGCGGGACTGGGCTGGGGTCCCGACAAGGGGCAGCACGGCTGACGGGCGGCAGCTGGTCCTGTGGTATGCCCAGCTGTTGGAGGAGCAGGTGGACACAACAGGTGTTCAGGGCAGGAAGGGGGTATGCAGGGCAGAGAGAGTGGCACTGCCACACACTGAGGGGGCAGAGCCTGCAGTGGCTTTAACGCGGCGTTTTGGGCCGCATCAGGGTGGAGGGTTGAAGGAGGGGTTGAAAATGTGGGCACCCCATGGAGTCCGAGGGGCACAGTGTCCTGCCCTTGGCCAGCAATGCCTGGGGAGGTCCTTGAGGGGGCACCGAGCTTGGGCAGGGATCCTGGTTCAGCCTCACACCCTTGCTCCTCCTGACACCTCCCGCTGCCAAAGCCCAGGGTTCTATGGCCCAGGCCACCCTGTAGCAGCAGTTCCTGGCCTGGCTGCAGGAGCGGTACAGGCTACGCCACCATGACTCACTCCCTAGGCCTGTCCCCACCGCACCCTCCACTCCTGCAGGAGGCCCCTCGCTTCCCAGGTTCCAGGCTGGAGCAGAGAAGAGAGGGGGCCCCCTCGTTCCTCCACAGACCCAGAGTGCCATGTCCTAAGGTCACCATGGGACGTGGTTACCAGCCCAGCCACCTGCACCTCCAGAGGCCCTGGGAGGGAGGAGGGCCCTCCCACCTCAGGTTTACACCAACCCTCCCCAGAGCTTCCAGGCAGGGCTCCATTGCCTCAGACATTGAATCATCCCACTGGCATTTGCTGAGCGTTTGTGTGATTGGGGGCACTGAGCATGCGCAGTAGGGACACCTCACTCTTCTGGCTGTGGAGGGAGCTTCCCAGAGGAAGGCCATTGGAGCAGTACAAGGCAGAAGGCAGTGCGTGTGTGTGCCTGAGTGTGAGGATGAAGTGTGTGGGCGTGCAAATGCGTGTATAACTGTGTGGGTATGCAGTTGTTAGAGGGAGGGAGTCCAGACATGGTCAGCTCTGAGGTGGGCAGGAGCAGGTCAGGAAGTTCCCGAGGACCTCTGAGGATATGGGCTTTGTGCTGAGAGCCCCAGGCTCCCTGGGACCCAACCCAGTGGGGCCTGTGTCCCCACCTTGGGGTGCCTGCAGGAGGGGAGATGGGGGTAGGGGACTGGGAAGGGAACCTGGTCACTAGCTGGTGTCTACACTGTGGGAGGCTGTGGTGTGCACTGGAGTTGCTGGGGGCGGATGGATGTGGCAGAGGGTCCCCAGGCCTGGGGTCTGGGTTTTGGGCACCTGGGTTGGGGGCGGGTGCACACCTCTCAGTGGCCGGGGGTTCAGGCAGGACACAACTGGGGCATCCGGGACAGGGGCACAGGGAGGGAGGGACATGGAAGACAACCCACAGAACCACTACCAAACTGACAAGGGGGAGACCTCGTGGGCATCCTAAGGCCAGGCTGTGAGGGAGGCCACCATTGGGAGGCCTGGGGGCTAGTGGAGGTGGAGAGAAATCAGATTTCTTCAGGCATACAGCACTGGGGACTGAGCAAGGCAAGTGCTGCAGCCCCACTCTCTGAGTAAGAACTCTCCCCCACAGGGCACTTCAGTGGGTGGGTAGGCAAGCAGCAGGAGGGAGACCTTAGCCTGGGAGGTGGGTGGATTGCAGGAGCAGCCCCTGGTCCCTGATCTAAGGCCTCAAGTCTCCCAGGGCTGAGTCCGCCTTGGGCTACTTGTAGGTACTCATATGTAGAGGAGGGACCACCCAGTGCCAGGTACGTGCAGGAATCTGAGTCCTCAGGAAGGGAAAGAGGTTATCTGAGATGCCCAGATTCCCAGGGAAGGATTCCACCAGTCCTCTTGGTGAGCTGAGCACTCCACTCTGGGGGGGTGGGGGTGGGGCAGCCAGGCAGCCCCACCTCAGCCAGAGGAAGTCCACCCACCATGAGAGGGGGCACATGGGAGGAAGCTGGGCCAGGGATGGAAAGGAAATGGCTGGGCAGGCCCTGACCTCACTAGTACAGGAGGAGGCACTGGGCATCTCTGGTTCTCAGCCTTTGACCACCCCCCCCACCAGGCCAGGACCTTTGTTCAGACCCAGGGGTGAAAGGGGCTTGAAGTGGGGAGAGCCCAGCTGCCCACCCCTGCAGGAGCCACTCTATTGGTGCCAGAACCAGGTGTGCAGGGCCCAGCTCACCCCAGCACAAGTCATCCTGATGCCCACTGGAGCCCATGGTGCCTGCCTATCACTCTCCTCCCAATAGGGTGCCTCCTTGGGCAACTCTTGGTGAAGATGACCCCAGCCCCCTTCATGGGGATCCCCCATGTGTGCCCTGCACCCTGCCCAGTCACCCCTCCCTCCCCCGACCCCACACCCTTTAGTGAACACTCCCAGGCCTGCCCCCTCCCAGACCTGATACCCAGGTGCACCTGGGCCCCTTCTCCCCAAACCTCGTCCTGGATCCCACTTGAGTGGCCCCCATCCGCACTTGCTCTAATATGTAGCTTTGGATGAGATTCCCTCTGAACAAAGGTCCCAGCAAATGCCAGGGCCTTGTTCCCTGAGGGGCCAGCACCCCCTCACACACCCTCCTCTCCTGCTGGCCCAGCCCAGAGCCAAGCTCCCACTGGCTGCCTGCCATCAGCACTGGGCAGCCATGGGCCTGGCCTTTGCCTCCCACTGCCCCATCTCTGTGTTGGGGTCCTTCTTGCACCCCACAGCCCCAGGACAGGTCACAAGCAAAACTCCCAGCTCTGTGCTTGAAGCCTCCAGACATAGAGAAATACGTTCCAGATGGGGCAAGACAGGGAGAGGGAACTTGAAGTGATGGAGTAGGAAACCATTTTAAATAAGGTTTTTAATTTTACAACACATGTGATTTACAGAGAAGCTATAAAGAGACCAGGGAGAGTTCTCATTTGCCCCCAAACCCAGTTCGCAGTGATGTGCTTGTCACAACTGGTGCACCAATATTGCTACATTGCCATTAGCCAAAGATTCCTCACTTTTCCATGTGTCCTTTTGCTGTCCCAAGGTCCCCAGGGGGAGGGGTGACTGTCCTCGTGTCTCCTTGGTCCCTCTTGGGGGTGACTCCCTCAGACTTCACTAGTTACTGATGCCCTTGGCATTTTGAAGGTCAGGTCGTTTGTAAAAGCCCCTGCTGGAACTTGTGTCAATGTATCTCATGATCGCCTGGGGTGAGGGTTTGGGAAGAAGCCTCCGGGGCAGCAAGGTCTGTGCCCTCAACTTGGCTCCTCCCTGCAGGTGGGGACCTCGGCCACCTGCCTGAGGTGATGTCTGTCAGGTTGTACTCCTCCCTCCCTCCTTGCTGTGCTCTCTGGAAGAGCACCCTCCTTGAGGTCACAGTGACTACATGAATTATTCAGAATTCCCTTCTCCCCCATTTAGTTAGTTATTGTATCATTTGTATCAGTGGGGTCTCATACATTTTCTACCTTGGGCAACAATCTATAAACCAATCTATAATAGCAGGGTGGTGGGCTGGCCTTAGAGGCAATCGGGTGGAGAGACAGGACCAGGGGGCAGGGCTCAGCGTGGAGTGGGGTGGAGCGGGAGTGTGGGCGGGGAGTGGACGCTCCTGGGACTGCGGCGTAACAGAAGCCCCAGCAGTGGTGGTTTCCGCCTGTGTGGGAGCAGAATGCGGGTGCTGGTGCGTTGGGACCAGGTGCGCTTGGCATTTTACTGCAAAGTCGGGGGGAGTCTCAGGAGCACAGGTTGATGGGCTTCCTAAGGTGCTTGGCAGAAGCGAGGCAGGCCTAGGGAGCGGCAGGACCCGGTGGAGTCCGGTTCAGGGTTTTTGCTGATGAAGCTGAGGGGGTGCTGAGCGGAGAGCCGTCCAGGATAAGCCCATCTGAGAGGAAGACGCTTTGGAGGGAAATTTTTGGGTCTGGTCTTCTGGGGTTTGCTGTGCCTGCTGGCATCCGTGTGCCGATCCAGCAGCTGGCACCAGAAGTCTGGATTTGGGGGACCCCTGCGCATGGCACTGAGGGCCTGGGCTCCTCCAGGCCATAGCTGGTCAGCATCAGCCCCCTGACCATGGAATGACCCCACCGTGACTGCGTGTGTGACACAGGCCCTGCACACACATGTATACAGCACGCAGGCATGGGCCCTTGGGTCTGAAGAGCCAGAGCCTCTGCTCCACACCCAGAGGGTGCCTGAGCTCCCCCACTGGCACAAGGGGGAGGAAGAGAGGAGGTTTGCTCACCCTTCCTGCTGCCCAGGCTGTCCCCTTCTGCTGACAGCCTGCAGGGCCTGCACCCTCTTTCCTCCACACGACTTATCTCTGGGGGGGCTCTGAGTGCACCCAGGTCAGCCCCCCAGGGCAAAGTGCCATCCTTCACACCCCAGGGCAGGGTCCACCCAGTGCCATGCTAGAGCTGGTCTCAAGAACCCTGCCCTCACCCCCCACTCCCCGCCCCCGTGAGTGTCTCCTCGAGCTGGTCATGGGCCTGGTGGGCACATTTACACCACGGGAGTCAGCAAACACTACACCAAGGCTTTTCTACCGAGGGCCAGTTGTTAAATACCACACAGAAGGGGTCAGGACTGCCCTGGCACCCCCACCCTCCCTCCCATTTCTCCACTGGGCTCCATCTTGGAGGGGAGAGAAGTGGGGGATGCTCTGCCATCCCTTTTCTGGGTTCCTGCGTGGTGGGACTATAGGCCCCAGCCTCCTGGGATGTGGGACTGTCGAGGTCAGGGTTGGGGACAGGTCCTGGAGGAGAGCTGAAGTTAGAGCTGAGGAAACACAGCCAGCTGAGGACATCATAGACCCTCATGCTCATTCCTCCTTGAGGCAGAGGTATATCAAAGATGGCCCTGAAGGGCTGGGCATGTGCCAGTCTGTGTACCTGTAAATGTGTGTGCCTGTGCATGAGTGCATTGCACATGTGAGTGTGTGTATATATATGTATGCACATGTGTGTCTGAGTGAACGTATTTGCATGTGCACTTGTGAGTGTTTGCATGTGTGTGGCTATGAGGGGGCGCTGCACACAGATGTGAGGAAATAGGGTCACTTCCCCAGGAACCCCGGCTGCCCCCTCTTCCTGCCCCCACCTCCTGTCCCGGGAGAGGCCCCAGCTCCATAAAGAGGGCCCGGAGCCCTGAATGCCCCTGTTGTTCCATTCCACACCTGCCCACGCTGCCTCCCAGGCCTGTTCCAGAAGGAGGAGGCCAAAAGCATCAGGTACTCAAGGGTCTTCTGCCTCCAAACTACCCAGGAGCAGGTACTGGTGTGGAGGAGGGAGGGTGGGCATTAGGAGGCTGCAGCCCCCTCCCTAGAGGTGCAGGGGTACAGGGGTGTCTGGTCCTGCCCACTGAGCCCCTTCTAGGTACAGGCTCACTCAGGGGTAGCTGGTCTAGAAGGAGCACTGGTCTGGGACGTGGTAAGTGGCCACATGGCTGTCTCCGAGTGTCACAGGTGCCCGAGTGTGGTTGTGTGTGTGCCTTACGGTGTCTGTGGGCCTCGCTGCACATGGTGCCACCCTGAACAGACACCTGGGCTCACCCCCTCACCCCCCAGCCAGGATGTGCAGAGGATATGGGAGTGCTGGAACAAGAGGGAGGAGCAGCCTGGAGGGTAGGCCTCAGCCACTGGTACAGCTGGACCAGTGGCGGGGGTGGGGGGGCGCAAACAGCACGGCAGTGGTCTTCTGTGGAGACGGGGACCAGAGCCCCTGTCCAGGATGTGGAGGAAGGGGGGCCCACTGTTGGTGCGTCTGGAACTGATGGGGCTGGGGGCTACAGGGGCTGGAAGCTGACAGAGCCGTTGGGTCTGGGGATGGATGGGATTAGGGGGTGATGAGAAGGCTAGACTAGGAGGCTGGGGGCTGAGGGCCACTGGGTCTAGGGGCCTGGAGAACTGTGGGCTGATGGGGAATGGAGTGGCTGAGGAGCTGGGGGGCCAGGCAGGCTGCAGGCCCAGCCCTTGATGGGCCCCTGGCATGCTGGCAATAGGAATCCAGCAACCTGGGTGCTGCAAGGTGGGAGCAGGCATCTGAGGTGAGGCCCAGACTCTGAGCGAGGCTGGTCCGTTTTCTGGTTGACCTTACGAAGGCAGCTCACCCAGTGGACTCCCTGTGGCTCTCGGGGCCTGGGGTGAGGTCCCCAGAGGCTGGGTAAGGGACACAGCTTACACGGCACTGGGCTTTCCTAGAGAGCTGGGGGAGGGCAGGAGGGCTGGCCCTGCTCCAGGCCACAGGGACCTAGAGCCGGGTTTTGGGGGGAGCAAGGGTATGTGCTCAGCCAGAGAAGGAGACCCCTTGTCTGTCCTTGTAGGGTCTATCCTCTGGCTGCAGAGGCCCCGGCCTCTTGCTGATCCCTCCTAGGGCAGGGTCAGGACCCTAGGTGAGGGCGGCGCTCCTGGAGGGGCTCCAGGTGCCACTGTACACCCTCCCAACCCACCAGCCCTTGCCCCCATTACCCTCGCCCCAGGTTGAGCTCCTGCTCATGGCCTGCAGGTCCCATCCCCCGCCCCTATGACCAACATGAGCTGGAGCTTCCTGACGCGGCTGCTGGAGGAGATCCACAACCACTCCACGTTCGTGGGCAAGGTATGGCTCACGGTGCTCGTGGTCTTCCGCATCGTGCTCACGGCGGTGGGCGGTGAGTCCATCTACTCCGACGAGCAGACCAAGTTCACGTGCAACACGCGGCAGCCGGGCTGCGACAACGTCTGCTACGACGCCTTTGCACCCTTGTCCCATGTGCGCTTCTGGGTTTTCCAGATTGTGGTCATCTCCACGCCCTCCGTAATGTACCTGGGCTATGCTGTGCACCGCCTGGCCCGCGCCTCACAGGACGAGCGCCGTCGCGCTTCACGCCGCCGCCAAGGCCGCCTCGCGCCCCGTGCACCCCTGCCCCCACCGCCCCACCCGGGCTGGCCCGAGCCAACAGACCTGGGCGAAGAGGAGCCCATGCTGGGCCTGGGTGAAGAGGACGAGGATCCGGGCGCGGCCGAGGGCCTGGGCGAAGATGATGAGGCTGAGGACGTGGGTGCCGCCAAGGGTGCAGGAGGGGACCCAAAGGCGACCGGGGTCCCAGGCCCGGCAGGTCAGCATGACGGGCGGCGGCGCATCCAGCGCGAGGGGCTAATGCGCGTGTACGTTGCCCAGCTGGTGGCGCGGGCCGCCTTCGAGGTGGCCTTCCTGGTGGGCCAGTACCTGCTGTATGGTTTCGAGGTGCGGCCCTTCTTCGCGTGCAGCCGCCAGCCCTGCCCGCACGTGGTCGACTGCTTCGTGTCGAGACCCACTGAGAAGACGGTCTTCCTGCTGGTCATGTACGTGGTCAGCTGCCTCTGCCTGGTGCTCAACCTCTGTGAGATGGCGCACCTGGGCCTGGGCAGCGCGCAAGACGCTGTGCGCAGCCACCGCCCCCTGCCCCCCACCCCTGGCCCCATGCCTCGCCAGCAGCCCTGTGGTCTCCCCGCCGCGCCTTCGGGCCTGGCCTGCCCGCCAGACTACAGCCTGGTGGTGCGCGCGGCTGAGCGCGCACGCACCCACGATCAGGACCTGGCCAACCTGGCGCTGCAGGCGCTGCAGGACCGGCGGTCACTTGGGGACCTCGACAGCCCACCAGGCCCTGGCCTTCCAGCAACCGCCCGGGGGCCCCCGAGGGCCGGCGCCCCTGCCTCCGGGTCGGGCAGTGCCACGTCGGGGGGCACTGCCGGGGGCCAGGGCCGGCCAGGGGCCAAACCCAGGATGGGCTCTGAGAAGGGCAGTGCGAGCAGCAGCAGGGAGGGTAAGACCACCGTGTGGATCTGAGGCCTGCATTGGCTGCTGTTCCTCCTCCCTCCGCACCAGGGCCGAGGTGGAGGGCTCTGGAGGAAGTCTAGGGTCTGGACACCGCCTAAGGGGCAGAGCACAACCTACCCTCCTCCTCCCCCTCAGGTGGCTGCTCTCCCCCTCGAGAGGGGGCGGAGGGCACCAGCCTGCTCTGCATCACTGCCCCTCCCTGCCTGAGCCCCATCTTCACCCAGGATAGGGTGGGGAAGGTAGGCCTGGGAATCACGAATGGTCCCCAGCTCTGGTCCATAAGCCCTGATGGGTAGGTGGGACTGTGGCTGGGGCATTTCCACCCTCCCAGAGCCACCCAGCTGGCCACCTCAGGACAAGGCTGCCCTCCAGGAGAGAGCTCCACCCGCTCCTGCCCCGCTTTTCCCGGCAGTAGCCCATGTGCGACTGCCCAGGGATGCTTGGCCTGGGTCTTGGGGAGTACTGTGCTTGTCCACAGTACTCCCTGCCCAGCAAATGGGGCTCTTTTCCTAGCACCCACACTCTTCTAGCCCAGGTTCTGGTTCTTGCAGAGATGGAAGCAACGCCAGGTCTTCCTTGTACAGAAGGGAAAACAGAGACCACAGTGGGCAGAGGTCCCTGCGCCCAGCCCTGGTCTGTACCACCTCCTGCCTCACCCCCACTAGGCCCCAAGCATGAGCTGCCTCGAGTGCCAGGTGGACCTGCACCCTGCTTCCTGTTCCCTGCCCAGGCAGATCTGGGGCTCAGGCCCTGCATGGGCCCCAGGGTGGATGGGGCCATGCCCTCTCCAGCTCCTGTGCTGGCCTGGCGTGGCCCCTTCCTCTGGGACATACTTCAAGTTCTGAAAAGACATCGGTCCCCCTTACCACTCAGACCAACAGGATGGTGGTGAGGGGCTATGGCTTTGCCCATGCTAGGGGAAGGCGCTCTGAGGCTCCCACCACAGCCTCTTCCCTCCAGCCCCCTGTCCAATTCAGACACAGCCTCCAAAGGGAGTGAAATAAAACTAACTTTTGTTTACAACCACATGTGTATGTGTATGAATGTCCGCATAAATGTGTGTGTGTGTGCTTGTGTATGTATGTGGGAGTGTGGTGTGTGCACATATGTGTGAGTACACATATATGCGTGTGTGTACGTGTCCACCGCTGGCCTCTGGGGACACATGGCTCAGCTCTAGGATGGCTGGGAGAGGAAACCACTTTGCAGGGACCATCTGGGGAGCAAGGCCCAGGTTGAGCCCCTGCAGCTCCTTGGAGACACTCTGGTGCCTCTCTGTGCCAGGCAATAGGCTCTGCCCAGAGGGGAGGGATATGGCTGAATGAGAACAAAGAACAGCCGGGCCTGCACGTTTAGAGCCCAAGGTGGTAGCTCAAAGGACAGAGAGGCAGTCCTGTCTCAGGCCCCGGCATTATCCAGATGCTGGCCAAAGCCTGCAGTGGTAGCTTTTGGTAGGGAGCAAAGGCGAGCACAGTTGGGGAAACAGCTGCTGCCGTCAAGGAGCCACCTTGGTCTAGACTTCAGTGATCCTGCTGTCTACCAGCCTCCCTCAGGCCCAAGGCAGGCCCTGAGAACTTCTCCCAGATTGCAAATCCTCTCTGGGGTCCCAGGGCCAAGCCCCAAGCCTGGGTGGACCCCAACCCAGCCTGCCTCTGGTCAGATGCCAAATGCAGGCTGAGTCCCTTTCCTTTGTGGGGTTTGACTGGCTGATCCCGGGTTCCAGGTGACCCCACCCCCATGAAGTCCCAGATGTCAATGCTGGAAGCAGAGCCTCAGAAGGAAAGCCAGTCCACATCCAGAGCAGGGACTCACCACTCGCCTCTCCAAGAGAGGAAAGCCCATGGGACTGGCATCCCTGCATTTGGGGCTGTGCTGCTGGCAGTGTCGTCATGAGGAATACTGGGTTTCTGTGGTGGGGAACACGCTGTCTGTCCAGCCATGCCTGGCTCCCATCAGTGTGACTGCGTGCAGTGAACGACAGAGCTGGTGAAGGATATCTGCAAGGCACTATTGTTGGCTGACACCCTTGCCGTGGCCCCTCCGTAGCCTCCCTGCCCACCGTGTCCCTGAGAGCAGCCTCCTGCAGCCAGTGGAGGGCCTGGAGGACATCAGGACCTCAGGGAGTTAAGTGGGCATTCCAGGTGGGGAATAGTGGGAGGCTTTAGGGTTCAGAACCACCCTAGTGGCTGGAGAGGGCTGGTGAGGAAGGCAGGTGTCCACTCCGAGCAGGGCCCAGAGGTTGGCCTCGATCCTGATGGTCAGTGCTCCCACATCTCAAGGCCATGAGGCACACTTGATGGTGACAGGGTCCCACAAGGGTGGAAGGTGGGGCATGGGCCCTCAGCATCTGCCTGAAAAGAAGCCTTAAGCCAGCAGACAGGGAGACCCTGGGCGGCTTTGTGTTTGGGGAAGAACATTCTGGATTTCACTGTGACAGTGTCCAGGGAAGCCTTCCCCCATCCTCTCTGTGGAGTAACATCAGGATCTCACCCTCTATAACTCGGGCTGGGCTCCTGGTGTAGTTTCAGCCTGGGAGTGTCTGGTGGGGCCAGGGCTGGCTCAATGATTTCCTCACTCACCGAGCTGGGGGTCCATGCTGCGGTCCCTCGATGTGGTTTGGACCTCCTTGCAGCATGGCGGCCCAAGAAGACCCAGCAAAGGCCAACTGACTCTTATCACCAGCCCTAAAATCATATCACTTCACATCATAGCAGTCACAGGCCTGCAGGATCCCTCTCAATGGGCCAGTGTCACGTTTTAAGGACATGTGGAATAGTCTCTGTTGGCCTTGGTCCGCTGGCCCCCTAGCCACGTGTGAGGCCCTTCAGCACCCCTCCCACCCGCACACACAGGGGCACGTGATCTTGGGGCCTCTGCAGCCACTGCTCCCTTCTTTTACCACAGTTCTGATATCGGTCCATAATTCGCCCCATACTGTTTAGCCTGTCCAGTTTCTATCATCTCAGTCCCCCCACTCCTAACTGGTTTAGATACAATTTGAGGCAGCTGGGTCAATGGGAACAGGACACTGCCCAGGGGCTCCTGGGGAAATCTATTTGCTGCGTGTCTGTGACATGGAAGTCAGATGTGGGTCAAGCTGTGAGTCTCTGTGGGTTGGTCCAACACCCATCTAGATGTTGCGGTGAAGGTGTTCTTTTAGATGAGATTAGCATTGACGATCTGTGGACTTTGATAAAGCAGACCACCCTCCCTAATGTGGGTTGCCCTCATCCAATCAGGTGATGGCCTTAAGAACAAAGACTGAGGTTCCCAAAGAAGGGATTCTCCCTCCAGACTGCCAGTGATGATTACATTTATGGGTCAGCTTAACTGGGCCCTGGGATGCCCAGAACAAGCATGATTCTAAGTATGTCTATGAGGGTGATTCCGGATGAGATTCACACTGAATCTGCACACTGAGTAAAACAGATGGCCCTCCCCAGCGCGGGTGGGCCTTGGCCAATCAGGTGAAGGCTTGAGTAGAACAAAAAGGTGGAGTAAGAGAGAACTCCTGCCTGACAGTTTGAGCAAGCACACTGGTCTCCTGTCTTCAGATTCAGACTCAGGCTAGAACTCTCCTGAGTCTCTAGCTTGTAGATGGCAGACCTTGGGACTCCTCAGCCCCCATAGTTGAGTGAGCCAATTCCTTATAATAAATCTCTGTCGAGTTGGTTCTCTTTCTCTGGAGAACCCCAATTAATCAACATCCCATCAGCCAGGGGTTGTTAAAAGGGCATCCCAGCTGTGAGGAAAACTGCAAATGGAGGCTCTATTCTGGGAGGTATCTCAGTCAGCTCAGCCTGTGTAACAAATGCTATAGACTGGGGGCTCAAACAACAGACATCTATTTCTCATAGTACTGGAAACTGGAAGTCCGAGACCAAGGTGTCAGCACCTGAGGCCACTCTCCTTGGTGTGTAGACAGCTGTCTTCTTCCTGTGTCCTCACATGGTCTTCCCTTTGTGTGAGTCTGTGTCCTCATCTCCTCTTCTTATAAGGAAACCAGTCTTATTGGATTAGGGCCCACCCCAGTGACCTCATTTGACCTTAATCACCTCTTTAAAGACTCCATCTCCAAATACAGCCCCGTTCTGAGGTCCTGGGCATTAGGGCTCCATAATGTGAATTTGGGGGGATGCAATGCAACCCATATTAGAAGGCAGATGCCTAACTAAAAGCTCAGTCACCACAGAAGGGGATCCTAATGCATAAGCCTCTTGTTTCAGGAACTTAGGGGCCTGTATGAACCACTGGGGTCCTGTATGTTTTGTGAGCTTTCAATGGGGGTGACTTAGGATTTACTGTCATGTCCTCCCAACTGATGTCACTGGCCATCCCAGGCTAGGGGAGCCAACCTCTGTGTCATACACGTTTCTACCTCTAACACCAATTTCTTGATGTTTTGAACCACCATAACCATGATCTCATGCCTGAGCCCCGATACCCTAACAGGGTGTCCATCTCCCACCTATGACATAGTATCTAGTATGCCCAAGTCTGCAGAGGTGGAACCCAACTAAACTTGACACTTAATGCTCACCTAACTACTTAAAAAAAAAAAATCCTCTCAGTGCCTGTATGGCCATGAGGCTGGAGAGCTGAACTGGGGTGCAAAGCCATCAACCCTCGCCCCCCATCTTCTGTGCTCTGGAGCAGGCTGGTGGGTTGAGCCCAGGCCTCTCCACCCCTGCTTCACTGTCTGGTGGGGTCCTCGGGCTGTGTGGGGCCCACCCAGGTCTGTATAGGGGCAGGGCCAGGCCAGGGGAGCGGCTGGAGCAGGATCAGACAGAACGGCCTTGTCTCATTCTCATCTGTTTCCATGGCTGGAGCCAACTCGCCGGCTGCTCAGGGAGATCGTGGAGGGCTTCAGGGAGGGGGGTGCCCAGAATGGGGGCAGCTTCCTTCTTCTGACTTTGGGAAGGGAGGAGGCCATGAGGAGAGAATAACAGGAAACAACCCCTGGCCTGGCAGCAGCTGGGAAACAGGGTCTGGGACCCCCATGTCTGCTGATTTTCCAGCTCTCAGATCCCCACCCCTCCCGACAGCTCCAGGGCCCATGGCCTCAGAGGGAGGAGATGCACATGGGATCCAGCAGCAACCTATGCCCCCAGCTGGACCCAGGCCAATGAGTGGGGTTCCTTGGGCGCATCCTGAGACCAGTCCACAGTTCCCTCCACCTAGACCTGTAGGCATGAGAAGCTGCAGTGAGAGGACCTGAGAAGGAGCAGTAGCCAGGCCATGCCCACATGCAGGGGTCCCTGCTGTCAGGCTGGCCAGGCTGGTGCAGAGATCTGGGAAGCCTTCCTGGAGGAGGGAGCCTGAAGCAGTGCTGGTTGGCAGACTCTAGAATGCTGGGAAGTGCTGCCTGCTCTGTTCACAGAGGCAGCCACCAGCTGACTGTGGCTCTGGACATTTCAGTGTGGCCCATTCAGTAAGGAGCTAAAAGTTTCATTTGACTTCATTTGAGTTAATTTGCATTTAAACAGCCCCAGGTGGCAGCAGTGGCCCTGCTTGACCAAGTGGGCTGGGCTTGGCACTGGACTGGGAACGTCAGGTAAGGTTCCGGGTGGCCCTGGGTCAGCCTGCTGGCCCTTCCCACAGGCTGTGCTGGTGGGAAGCAGGTTTTCTGCTGGCCAAGGGATGGTCTGATGTGAGGCTTGAGGAATGCAACCCCCCCCATGTTGTCCTCGAATGGTTTCCTCCCTGACCTCACAGGGCTGACAGGGAGGTGCTGGGTCACCCTAGGAACACAGGCCCAACAGAGGAAGACCTTTTCCATGAAAGGCCAGTGGAACTGCATTCCAGGCCTGGCTGCTCACAACCAGGAAGCCGACTGGGAGGGGACCAAGGGCCTGGAAAACCCTAGGGAGTTCTGGTCAACCAGTTTATGTTAATGAGGTAACTTCTGAAAAGCCCCTAAGGATGGGGGCTGGTTGCCAGAACCAACCGTGTGATTAGAGGGTTAGAGCTTTCAGCCCGACCCCTTGACCTCTGGGGAGGAGTGATGGGCTGCAGGTTGAATCAACAGCCAATGGCCAATAATTTAATCAATCACATCTAGGTAATGAAGCCTCTGTAAAATCCCAAAAGGACTGGGTTTGGAGAGCTTCTGGGTTGGGGAACACATGGAGATTTGGGGAGCGTGCGGTGTGCTCAGAGGGCATGGATGCTCCGTACCCCTTCCCACATACCTTGCTCTTTGCTCTCTTCCATCTGGCTGTTCCTGAGTTATATCCTTTTATAACAAATCAGTAATCTGGTAGGTAAAATGTTTCTCTGAGTTCTATGAGCCACTCTAATAAACTAATTGAACCCAAGGAGAGGGCTGTTGGAACCTCTGATCTATAGCTGGTTGGTCAGAAGCACAGGTGACAACCTGGACTTCGATTTGCATCTGAAGTGGGGAGGGGGAGAGTGTGAGTGTATGAGACAGTGTGTGTGGCAGTCTTATGGGATCTCATGCTATCAGGTAGATGGATTAAAAATTGAGTTAAATTTTAAGACACCTAGCTGGTGTCAGAGAATTGTGTGGTGTGGGGGACCCTCTCCCCCCACACACATTTAGTGATAAGAAGTGAAGGGTAGTGTGAGAGTATAGGATACCCAGGAGTGTCTGTTTTACAAAGGAACTGAAAGCAAAGTTGTACACCCATCTTCATAGC